CTTAAAATACAATAACTCTAAATTACTCTAAATTGTAACCCACTCAAAATTTATAACAATCAAACTTCATTCTCCTTCAATGTGGCATGAATTAAAACATCTTTTGATAATTTTGACAACTTTTTTTTCACATCTTCATTGAAGTATATTGTATGATTGATGTCTCTTGGTTCATATCAAAATGGAGGCATTCTCTTGATGGCCCAAAATGAAGAGCCGAACACAAAAGGAGACGGCGGCACAAAAGACGATAGCGACAGTCATTAGGCGATAGAAACTGTTGAAAATGAGGTGATGCACAACAGATGTGGCAAAATTCTGATAGCGAAGACAAGAAAATCGAATAAAGATGAACAACCAAATAATAGAGAGCCCAAGCTCAAAGAGAGAGAGCTCCAATGGCCGGAAAGACAATTTGAGGAAGAAAGAAGAAAGAGGATGAAAATGGAAGAAGAAAAAAAGAATTAGAAATAAAAGTTGAAAGGTTAGAGAAGTAAGTGGCTGAGCTAAGTGAGAGTTTCTTCTATCTCAAATAGGAGAAGGAAAAGAATGGGAAGGTAATCTTTGATCTTATGAAGAAAGTTGAAGAAGGTGGGGAGAAATGGAATGGCTTGTTAATGGAGATTGAGGCTCTAGTGGACAAGCTAGTGTGGGAGGAGAAAGATATAGAGATGTTGACTCAACAGAGAGACTCACTCGACGTGAACCTGAATCAAATCCAACAGGAGGCAGTGAATTTACGACACACGATTGAGATATTCACTCGTGATAAAGCCGAAATGGAGGAAGCAAAAATGCTAGCTGTAAATGTCGTTGTGGACTTGCAAAGGGAATTAAGTAAACTAAACGAAGCCATGATGTCTGAGTCAAGCGTGGCTGAGAACGGGAGAAATGAAGAGTTGGTGTCTCATATGGGCTATTCTCGAGAAGATCCAAATGAAGTCTCATCAGAGAAGGACAACCTTAGTTTGCCGCTCGAGGACAAGGAGAGAAAATTGAAGAAACCACGACTAAACTCGAGAAAACGAAAACAGCGTAGGTGGAATCATTGAATGGAACATTTAAATTTATGGGGGAGTTTTGTTGGGAATAAACTTAAATGAACGAAAAAAAAGAAGGGAGAAGGTAGTTTCTATTTTTTGGTTTTAAAATTTAGTCAACAGGCTAAAACATTTATTTTAGGAAGTGGTGTTAGAAAATGTGGGATTCTTATGGCCATTTTTAGCTTTAGAAAACTTATAAATACTTTTTTTTTTTCTCATTATCATAGCAGAGCAAGTAGAGTAAGAGTAATAGAGTTAAAAAAGGAGTACAGAGCAATAGAAAAGGGTTTTGAGAATTTTTTGTCTCCTTGTCTCTCCCCTCTTGACACCTCCTTCACAGCTTCATAAGAGTTATCTAAACGAGTTAGTTTCAGAGCGAGCATTTATTTTCTACAAGTTGGTATCAGAGCGAATTTTGTTTCAACAAATTGGTATCAGAGCAGCTTTTAATTTCAATAGAGTGTTGTACTATTTGGTAATAAATCCAATAACCTGAGTATCGTAGAAGCTGAAGGTGGTGGCTTTCTCGTCATGCAAGGCTGAGTATATAGCCGCAATTGTTGGAATGTGTCCAGGAGTATGGTTGGGCAGGATTTTCAGTACCATCAGTCAACTGCAAGTAAAACCCAAGCTTAATGTTGACAACAAGTCAGCTATAACGTTGGCAAAAATCTTGTTTACCATGATCAAAGTAAGTACATTAATACCAGGTTTCATTTTATTTGCCAATGTGTGCAAACTGAAGCTATTGAACTGGAATATGTGAACACAAATGAACAATTGGCGAATATTCTGACAAAGCCGTTAGCAAGACAACAGTTACTGGAGTTAAGAGAAGATTGGGTTGAAGAAATTGGATTCAGCATAGTTAAACAAGTTTAGAAGAGTGATGGTGGGTTATAAACTTGTTTTTTATTATTTATTTATTTTGCTTCATAAGTTTTTAGTTAAAAATAGTTGAGTATTTATTTTATTTTGTTGTTTATTTCTCCCTAAAAAAAAGTTGGGGATATCGTGAAAGAAAGGGGGAAGAGTGAAACTAATTTTTAAGGAGTGAAATTAGTGGAAGGAGTGGTAGCTAATTTATAGCTAGAAATGAATTATTTTTTTATTATATAAGAAAAACGATATCAAGTTAGCAAAAGACCACAAGAAGAGAAAATTAATTTGTGTGTCTGCTCCTTTCCCCTTCTATTATTTTCTTTCAGTTTCATAGTGGATGCTAAGGCATTGCACATATCTTGGTTCTCATTCGAAGAACCAATCCATAGGTTCTGTTAATGATTTTTAAGTACATAATATGGTTTTATCCTAGAACTTTTGTCCAGATTTTAAGTTCTGAAGTTCTTAGTTTTGTCATGGGTTCTGAGTTATTAATCATGGTTCTTCATTCTTGGTTTTGTTTCTTATCCCTTAGACACTTCCTAGGGAGACTTGTGGCATCATGTGAACAATTTGATCTTGACCTATGTTTAAAGTTCCATGTGTCTCCTATGATATGGCCTATGTCAAAGGTTTCAAGCATCCCCCGTCACAACTTGAGTCATTATACATGTGCTTAGGGCTTCAATTATTTCCAGCGACATAGTCTAAATACCTACATCCAAGGCTTCACATGTTTCTCGCAACACAACTTGCATGTCTATGTCTAGAGCTGTAACACAGAGTTCCGACGATGATTAATTTTTCAATTTGTTCTCTTTTAACTTCAGAGATTTTATTGAGAGTCTTACAAACTGAACTTCCAGATGAGATAGAAGAATAAAAAACTTAGATAAATATGAGAAACTCAAGAAAAATACAAAGGGATAAATGGTGAAAAATTAGGAAAATTTGCCATAGTCAACCAGAGGGATAAATGGTTATTTCGTCCATCCTTGCCTAATTAGCAGTTTGGTTAAATATTAATCAGAGGATTAGTGAAGAGGGGAAAAAAAGGAAGATGAAAAAGGAAAGAAAAGAGAAGAAAAATTAGGGCTTGGAAGAGAGAAACAAAAATCACATCGAAACAACGGTTTGAAGTTAGAATTTTTGGCCTTTTGCATGCTAAAAATCCATCATGAAATGATGAAGTCTAAGAGGTAAAAGTTTCTAAGTTGTTATTCTCAATTTTTCCTTAGATTCGAGAGTTCTACTTATGTTTAAGTTATGATAAGGCTTCAATAGAGTTAAATTTTGCATTAAATGTTCAAGTTATATGTATGGAAGCAACCTTAGGTTAAGTAGAAAAATTTAAGGTTGTTACAATCGAAGACTTTATAGAGGAGATTGATACGTTTGAAGAACTGGAGCGAGTAGATTAAGGATATCCATAACTTTCTACATATTTCTTCCAAGTAAGTTTGCTTTAACCTTTTTGTTTTGTTTGATTCTAAATAAAATCAAAGCCGCTTCCAATGTTTCCGGTACGCAAATGAAGCGATAATTCCCAACTGTAGTTTCATCATTTTCCTCTAAGTCTTGGTTTATACCAAAACATGTTCTAATATAAAGTTTCTTAACATTTAGAATCCATTTAGGTCTTAAAGATATCACAAGGTCTTGGCAGAAGCGGCTCTTTGGTCATTATCCACCTTAATCTTTGTTTAGAACCTAAACGTATTTTAATTACTTTGAAACTTTGCATAATCCTTAGAAATCATAAAATTGAGCCTCTTGAAAAGTTTTATCTCATTTAGAGGTCATTTAGGTCATAAACCATATGTACTTTATTATGGAGGTGTTTTGGTCATTTTACACCTAGGGTTTAGTCCTAGTTTAGCCCCTTTAACACGACCAATTTTTTATTAATAAAGTCATATACTTTTACTTTGGGGTTCACAATCTATTTATATAAGAATTCAAAAATAAAAAAAGTTACGTAGTCACCGAACAACGCGGGTTTCCTGGCAAGCGTCGAAGAACCCGCACCTCCAACGAACCTACAATCATACCTAAAGTTCTACACTTCAGCAAACCCTCAGACCTCACCTTCAAGGAAAGAAAACACGAAATGAAGATATAAAGGATGGAAGACGGACGGTTTTTATAATACCCGAATTTTTATATAAATAAATAAAAAAAAAACATCATAGGGTCAAAAGAGACTTTTTGCCTACCCAAATGGTCTAGTTGTTTGGGCTCTAAAAAGAGAAAGAAGAGAAAAAGAGAGAGAGAAAGGAGAAAGGAGAAGAAGTTGTTAGATAAAAACCTATTATTTCTTTACACGTTTTAATTAATTTGATAAAATATTTTCCTTTGACCATTTGACAAACTCGTACAATGGATTACCAATTTTGTAGGCATCCATTTCAAAAGAAATGGCACAGTTAGTTAGCCACTCTCCAGCATCTTTTTAGGATAGTTAATTGTTTAAATAGGTGAGACAAGAAAAAATCACCTCTTTCTAGCCAATCAAATTGCAATTTTCTCTCTCTCTCTCTCTCTCTCTTTCTAGCCAATCAAATTGCAATTTTCTCTCTCTCTCTCTCTCTCTCTGATATTTTTACCCGTTTTATTTTCTTCCAACTTTCCTCTTTCTTCCCGTCAAAGATTTCCTCTCACGTTAGAAAAGATTTCCAATTGTCGAAAAACAATAACTGGTATTAGAGCCCAGTTGAAGCCATCGGTGGTATATCATTACGAACGAGCCAACCTTATCAACAATCAAGTTGAATAGCTTAAGTGGTTAGAGCATTGACCTAATAAAGCACAGGTCTCAAGTTCAAGTAGAAGAAAGTGCAAAAATAACTGCTCCGGTGAGCATCCAACCCGAGGAAGAGCTCCAACTTTACATAACAAAGGCACTGGTAAAAAGCCCACTAAGAAAGAATGCAAGCTGTAGGCTGCCCATTTCAAAAGAAATGTCACATATTTAATTGGTCACTAACAAAGGATAGTTAATTGTTTAAATAGGTGAATCTCTCTAGAAAAAAAAATCAAATTGCAATTCTCTCTATGTTATTTTTACCCATTTTATTTTCATCAAACGACTTTCCTCTCTCTTCCCGTCAAAGATTTCCTCTCATACCATTCATCAAACGACTTTCCTCTCTCTTCCCGTCAAAGATTTCCTCTCATACCATAAAAGGATTTCCCTCCTATTGTCGAAAAACAACAGAAGTTAGGGTTTGGGAGAGAGGAAGAACAGAGATGACAAATCACCATTGGAGATCGAATCCAAGGCAAGAAACTTCGAAGCAATGCTTCTCTCGGTGCTGGGAAAGGAGTTTGGGTGGTGGATTCACTCATTCTGGCAAGAAAATCCGAGAATGGACAAGTAAGGTTCCGAACTTCTTGTTTCGATTTTATCTAGATCTGAGAAGTTTCTTGAGCGTTAGATCTGGAGTTTTTGAGGTATGTAACTAAAATAAGATTCACACAGATTTCTTGAAGTTCCTGGAAGAGAATCGGACGAAAATCGGAGTTTAGTCGGACTTCGGGTAAACGGATCGAAAACAGAAAAGTGAGTTTTTCCGTATCTTTGGACGGCCTTTAACTCATCCTGTGTTGAAGAAAAAAAATAAAAGAAAAATATATTGTAGAAGTAGAATATGAGATCTACAATTTTCGTGAAGAAACTTTGTTGATATGCATTACGGATTGAAAAATAAGAAAATCCGAAGAAAATAGATCAAAAACGCGAAAACGCTAACATCTGGAAATTTGAAACACACGCAGGAGAGAGAAAGAGACCGCCATGCGTCGACCGGCAAACGGAAGAGCGCAGCGGAGCCAGCGTGTGTCACGTGGCAACGTTCCACTCGTGGTCTGAGTCGAGTCGACCCGTACGCCCGTCGAGCCGGTTCAAAAACCCGCGATCCAACCCGACGCTTCCCGCCAAACACTGCACGCCACGTGTCGCGCTCAGAAAATTTGAAGGTAAGTCCGCGGCCGTTGGGGTTCGAAACGCTGCACTGCCCGCGCGTGTGCCCTGTGCGTGGAGGTTGCGTGTGCACGGCGCTTGGGACCCCATTCTCTCACCTGTTTGACCTCCGTTTGCTTGTTTTTCGCTCAGATTTCATCTCTGACCCTATTTTTATGTGAATTAGGACCTATCAAGGAAATTCCATAAGTTTTGAAATCTTTTCCGGCAAATAAATTCGAGCTCGGAAAGGCACGCGTCAACCATGTAAGTAGCCATTTGGATTTCCACGAGCAGTACTTTTGGGAACCGCTAGGAACAAGCATGCATGCTTCCACCCATTAACTTAGCTAGCTGGACCTAGTATATTAGTATGAAAACTACGAAATAAAGAAATGATTAAGGAAAGCTAGATATGAAATGTTTATTAAATCTGTTTGATTGAGATTCTGATAAAGTATGTATGCATGAGGAGGATGGGAAACTTGTGAAATCTACGCTCCGGGTAAAGATGTACGTTATCTTCCCGTTGAGCATGTTTGTCAATATTGCATGAACTGCTGTGTGTTAATTCTTATGCATGATGATTGCTTGTGTTATCTTTCTTGATGAATAGGAAGAAATTATGAGCTTAGATTAGGGTGCTTGTGACGAAGTAGACTAGACGAGACCCTAGATTGGGGGACCTCTAGAATACCGTGCAATTAGACCCGTGAAATGATTACTGGCGGATCCAGAGCCTAGAATTCCAAACCCAACAGATTTGTGAGACCAGGCATGAGAATCCTAGAGATACATGAATCCAAGTCTAAGCTACCAATCCACCCTAGAAAGAATAATAGGTCACCACGGTAACTCTAGGTAGCCCGCTAGAGTTGAGCAGTGTAGAGAGTGTCATCAGAACCTCCACTTCCCTTCTCCTCCGATACCACACCGTCGAGACAGAGCTCTAGTACGGTGATCGTTAAGCTTGGCAGATCCGGATAGGGAAGTGTGACAGGTGCCCGGACCTAGTGGTGATAGCTAAAAGGTCTTCTGAACAGAACTCTTGGGCTGTAGAAACTCGTCCCTGAGCGGGGGACGTGGAGCCACATAGGATAACTCAGTAGCTGACCGGCACACACGGGGTCGCACCCCGTTTAGTGGATGTATGGTCCCGTGTGAGGGTCGTCAGCTAACCTCCACGGATGATGTTCAAAGAGAGTCACGTATTCAGATCCAGCCATACGATCCCCTCAGATTTTCTTATGAGGTCGCGCCTCGCCTCAGGACACTGATCATTTCACTGCATAAGATGGGAACGCCTTTTAAGATTCAGAAAAGAGAGTTGTAGCTTAGATCACTCTCCTTTGAAACCCGAGAAAGACAGTGGATACCTACCAAGATAAGGATGTGAAAAGAGCCTACAAGTAGGCTACTTCCTAAGTTTTTTTATACTCACCCCTTTCTCCCCTTTTCTTTTTTAGGTACCCGTCGATACGGGGAGGTGTTCGAGAGCTGCACAGTCATAGAGGGGTGTTGTTCCGGAGCGTCAGTCCCTTGTCAGTTTTTTGAGTCTTTTGTATTTTTCTTCATAATTGTATTTCCCGTTTGAAATTTTTTATTTTTATTTTATTTAATTTTGGTGTCGTTGACTCCTTTTTCTTGTTTTAAATTTTATCAAATTTTCATCTCCAATTTTATCTTCTTTTATTTTTATTTTTGAATAGTCGTTAAACTAATTGTAAAAAAAAATAATAATAAAATAAAATAAAATAAAATTTCCGTGAGTGAGTGGAATATGTTTCCTGACATATTCCCACTTTACTTCTTCAACTTCCCATCTTTTGGAATTTTATTATTTTGATTTTTTCTATTATTGATGTATCTTTTCCTATTTTCATCATATTTTGGATGAATATGGCATTCCTCTTTCATCAAATTATTGATGTAAAAGGAGTTCCTATTTTCATTAAGAAATTGATGAATATGGAAAAATGTAAATTATGCATTTAATTGTATTATGTAAAAACATGTATTATATTAAGCTAGGATGACAAAGCTCATGTAAATTGTAAAGGCTCAAGTCCTTAAGCGTAGGAATGGTATCAGAGCCTCTCAATTTTAGTGGGGGAAGAGGAATTACTCGATCTTTAAGAACGACATTGCAGAAACCAGGAGGATGATAAGAAAATTCAGATGAATTTGGAGTATGTGATAGATGAGCGTATAACCCTTGTGTTCCAGGTGGTAAGACGCGGGAAGTGCAGTAAGTCCGTTGGCAAGCTTAGGTGCTTAGTCATATGAAAAATTCTGAAGAAAATCTTATCTACAACCTGACACCTTCATCAGAGACAAAACAAAGATTGACAACTTGTCAGCCACACAATGAAGCCTCACATGTGAATTAGCAGTGTTTGTAAATTATTAGTTTACTTTATATCTTTTCTTACTTTTAGGAAAACAGATCTTGCAGGCGTCCTGTCCTGCTAGATTCGATCTTATCTCTTAGTTGGCGTTTTTCAAATTTACGTTCAAAATCGAAGTCTATAAAAGGACTTCATCAATGTAAGGAGAGCATCGATCGCCCGATAGCTCTCTCTTGAATATCAATTGAAGAATTCAGAGAAAAATCATTCTACTCTATCTCTTATCTTAGCTATCTCTTTATGAACGACTTTCTGAGAAAGCTCAGAAAATCAAACCATTTCAAATGTTTTACCGATGAAGAAGAGAGTTCAAATGAGCATAGAAGGGGAAAAAATCTCACAATCTCAAACACTGTCAATCAAGAATATCAGATCGCGAAGATCGAAGATCAACTCCAAAATTGGACTATTCCAAAGGTAGATCCTAAAACTATCTACCAAATTTCAACATTCAATTTTGCTCAAAGATCATGCATCAAATTCTCAGAGAAAAATATCCTAATTCACAGCAATAGGGAGTCTCTGAATCTTTTTTCAAAATCCCTTATACTCCAACACCGTGAAGAGTTTAATTATCTTCACGTCGGTCTTGTCCAAGTCGCTGTAAAACCATTGTTCAAACTTGGGTTAGATATCCCAGTCCTTATCTCCTTACGAGATAAGAGACATGAAGATTTCTCAAATTCTTTATTGGGGATGGTTCAATCCAATCTAGAGAATGGACCAGTTTATTTCAATTGTTATCCAAATTTTACTTTGTCGCTCCACGACCAGCACATATTATCAGCCCTCATGCTGGATTTACAATAAAAAAAATTTGAACATCAAGGCTGAAACTCATTCTTCAGTCGTCATATTCATGGTTTATTACAAACTCATGAATACAAATATTTCTCCAAGAGCATTAAGATTCTCACCAAAAGAATCAACCATGCTCATAGAAGCAAATATTGGAAAGCCTTCTGTGACTGTTCCAAAAACCCTTTCTTGGGATCAAATAACCAGAAAACACTCTGGAAAATAGAAGATGCTAATCTTCCAAGGAAAAAGGAATCTCAAAACCCAGTACAAATCATCGAGCATGACGATGGAAGCGTTGAGATAAAATTCAGCGAGGAACCTTCGTCAGAATCAAAAGTTAGAGAATTCTTGAGTTCTAGACCAAGTACGTCGGGAATTTCAAGATCAATGTATGTCCCCTTAAAGGTAAAGGAGGTCAGTTATGATCAAAAGAGGACATCAATCCACTATGAGGATGACTCAAGATCTCCAAACCATACATATATGGATACTCAATCCGTCTACGAAAGTCAGCTAAATGTCATTACAGCTAATTTCCAGATAGACAAAGAATTTTTAAAGGTAGATTTTATGTCAGCTACCAACTTTTCAAAGAGAAAAGCTTTCTTTCAAACCTACAAAGAAACTGAGTGATGCGAGTTAAGAGCTCAGTGGTATTCTCACATGGAAACCGTAGAAGAAAACATACCATTCTTCGAATGGTTTGAAGAAAATATTTTACAAATATGCACTTTGACTCAAAGAAGCTGGAAGACTACCAGGAGAGATGAAGTATATTCAAAACATCCTCCGTTAGAAGTCGAATTCGACAATTACTATGGAGAAAAGGTCAAAGCTAGTCCCTTCAAAACTATCCCAGAAGGGCTAGAAAAGGGTAATTCGACCCTAAAGGATATCAAGAATATCTAGCATCAAAATAATTATTCAAACAAGATTTTATCTACGATCTCCACTCAGCTTGAGAGTATCGAAGGGAAAATTTTGAAGAATTCTGGTACTCTGCAAGAACAAGTGGGCAGTTCGGTACCGAAAGTCGATGAGTCAATCCCAATACTCAGACCGGCAAACCTCGACATATTTACAAAAAGAATTTCAAAAGAAGAGGCCGTTATGGCCAAAATAGAAGTAAAGTTGGATAGAATCCTAAATCCTGGAATAACACATCAAGATTCATCTATCAATGTCGTAAACAATGACGACGAAATTCAGGAATTCGAAGATGAGATTTTGGGCAAGGTTGAAGAACCTCTCTACAATCGAATCGAAAGAATCTCTAGGAAAAATCAAAATAATACCAGTAATCAGAAAAACTGGTATCCTCAACCGTCTTTTCCGGATATTCAATTCGAAGAAAAGACTCTACAAACTCAAGCCCACTACGATGGCATGCCAATCTATGAATGGAATATCGATGGATTGTCTGACTATCTGATAATGAATGTTGTCAATGAGATGATGATGGCCGCAGGCGCGTATAAATTACAGGGCCATAAATCTGACCATCAGATAGCTCAAGTTTTAGTAACCGGATTTACCGGGCAACTCAAAGACTGGTGGGACAAATATCTCGACAAAACAACTCGCCAACAGATATTAAACCACTATGTCGTTAGGCCAACTACTCAAGTCATCAAAGAAGAAGGTCCATCAACTAGGACTGAAATACAACATGAAAGGGTAGAGGATGCTGTCAACACCCTCATTTATACCCTCATAGAATTCTTCATCGGCGACCCTCTGAAATACCAGGAGAGATCTGCCGAGATACTCATGAACCTAAAATGCCCTACCTTAGGTGATTTTAGGTGGTACAAAGATATGTACTTCAGCAAAGTTCTTATTAGAACAGATAGTTCGTTGGAATTCTGGAAAGAAAATTTTGTCAATGGACTACCAAAACACTTCTCAAGGAGGATCAAAGACGATCTGAAGACGAAGTATAATGGAACAATTCCATGGCAGACTTTTTCATATGGATCGATAGCATCCTTCATCATAGAAGGACTCAGACTTTGTAATGAGTCAAAGATTCAAAACAAGCTCAATTCTTCAATATCAAACAGAAAAGAGCTTGGAAGATTTTGTGACCAATATGGATGCAAGGGGATAGAAGCTCCCTCAACCTCTAGAAGAAAGAAGGATAAGATGCATCCAAAATCTTATAATTCATACAGGCCCAGAGAAAAGTATCGGAATAAACCCGTGCAATCTCAAAAGCCAACGTATTCAAGAAGGAAGTATATTCCTACGAAAACCCATAGAGGAAAGAAAAAGCAAACTTGCTTTAAATGTCGTGAAGAAGGACACTATGCTAACAAGTGTCCAATCAGAGGAAAGATCAATGAGTTGGATATAGATCAAGAGCTGAAAAATCAGCTATTACGACTGACCCTAACCGACTCAGAGCAATCAAGCGAGGGAGAAATCCTCGAACTCCAAGAAGAATCCGATTCATATTCTAGCACAAAATACGAATCAGAATAGGAGGGAAAAAGAACATGCGAAGGATGCATAAATGTCCTTACAAAGGATCAAGAAATTCTACTCGAAGTAGTAGAAAAAGTTCAAGTTCCAGAAATTCAACAGAAAATTGCTCAACGACTTAGAGATGCTATGAAAATCTCTAAACCACTTGAAAGGGAAGAAAGAAATCCCTACAGGCTCCAATCAGTTCTCCAAATATTTGAAAAACCAAGAGAACTCACTACTAAAGATCTACAAAGAGAGATTAATAATCTCAAACAAGAAGTACAGGCGTTAAGATCTGAAACTAGGTAAGAATCTTATATGCTTCGTCAAGAAATTCTCAATCTTAAGGAAAGGCTGCCCGAACAAAGGGAAATTGTGCAACCGAACCTAGACGAAAAAGATTTTCAAAGTTCCTTCGTTGGAGCCATCACCACTTCTCAATATCAAAAATGGTACGCTCTCGTTACCTTAAAAATTTATGATTTCAAAATCACACTAAAGGCTCTCATAGATACTGGAGCTGATCAAAATTGCATTCAAGAAGGCCTAATACCTACAAAGTATTTTGAAAAAACTACTGAGGGCCTTACAGGTGCTAACAACAACAAACTTAAAATTAATTACAAACTATCAAAAGTTCATGTTTGCAATGATGGAATTTGCTTTGTAGATTCCTTCCTTTTAGTAAAGGACTTAGGACAAGAGTTAATCCTAGGTACTTCTTTCATTACTCAATTATATCCTTTTAAAATAACTGAAAAAAGATTAGAGTCAAAGGCTTTAGGAAAGAAGATAAAATTTAATTTTCTTTTGCCGGATTAGTGAAATAAATAACCTTCAAAAGAATACAATTATTTGATCTATAAATGTACTAGATTATAAGGAAAAACAAATTTCCTTTTTAAA